CAAAAATATAAAATTAACATCATGATTTTAAGAGGACGTAACACCTGCATGACGTGTTGTCTACGTCTTACAAACATACAACATAGCAAAAACTGTTTTGAGTGGGACAATTTTAATCCCTCTGTTTACTTATTTCTACAATTTTCTACACAAGACAAGGGAAAAACATTATCTATGTCRTACTGTTTTTATTATTTGGATAAAATATTTAATATCAGTTTAAGAAAATTAGATTTTATTTTTAAATTAATTATTTAAAATTATTGGTTAGTGGTATCAAAAAAATAAAAATGCTGTGACACGGATTAAGTTCTTCCTTATGCGTTGAAGAATTTTGGTAATTCTGCAATAAATACAGATGGAGTAATCCACACAAAACAGTTTTTAATACATTGTACATTTCTAAGACGGAGACAACACATGTGGGTGTAGTGTCCTCTTAACGAAAAATAAAAATTCTATAACATAAAATAATATATTTTATTATAACATTTATAATTTTATATATTATAAATCCAAATAATATTCCTACAGCAATTATCAGTTGCTATGTATGTTATATATATATAAACTATACATTAGTAATGTATACATATATATTTATTTTTATGTTGTMATTTAAATTGGTGGTTATTTTCTTTTGTTTCCAATTGAGTAAACTTTTATAGTTTCTAAGAACCTTCTTAGAAACTTGCTAAGTGTAGCAACCCCCTTCCCCTTCCAAGCTTAATTCACTATTATTGCTATATAGATAATAATATCAAATAAAGATAGATATCTTAGTTAATGAATATATTGATTTTTTTTTTTATTTACTCACTCGATTTGTTTCACAGATTTTTTTAAGTGTTCTGGTTATAACACCAGGGCCATTATACCCCCAGTCATTTGCACGATAATTAGAAGAAAAATCTTTGATCGAAGTATTTGAAACTGTTCTTCCAATTGTATCAACATCAAAATTCAATACAAGTGAAGCAATAGTTGAGCTTGATTCAATACTTACAAAATTTGTTAGGCCTGAGAAAGATCTAAATAATAAATAAATAATTAAATCATTTATAAAACTTACAATAAAATAAGATATTCACTTCATTAGAACTACATCTAGATCCAAATAAGTCCCTCCAAATTTCCATAGTGTTAAAAATCTCAATAAATCACTTGCATGAGAAACTGGCCATTGACTTGTAGATATGGTGTTTGAGGTCACAAAGTCTTGTAATGGAGTATTATGTGAATATTTTACAAAATTTATATATCTAAACTTAATATTTGAAAACATTTTAAGTCTATTAACAACATCAGATTCATCACTTATGAAACTAGGAGCAACAAATAAAACAAATATATTTAAATTAGGATTTAAACTTGCTGTAGATTCTATAGCACAGCCTTGTCTTAAATTTAAATTAATTCCGTTTTTATGGTTACACGATGTTTCAATAAAAAATATACTATTTTTTGGTACTTCTGCAGGATTTAATTCAAGTAAAGAATTATTTTGTTTTTCTTCAAAGTAACAAGAAATTAAATGTTTTTGTGATAAATTTAAGAATTGGTCAACATCACCATGAAAATTCAAATTGTACATAATTACTAAAGAAATAAGTAGTAAAAATATAATACGAAAAATTATATTTCTTTTGAAATATGGCCTGCAAATCATTTTAAATTATTTATATATATTTTTTAATTGTTATAAAACTAATTCTTATTTTAAATTATTTTAACAGAGAAAATAAAATACAAATTAGACATCTATTTAGTAYAAAATAATCAAAGAAATATTAGAGATTCAGTTTTCTTCATTTTAAATCGCAATTTGAAAATCCAAACCTAAAACAAAAGTTAATATTGTATTATTACAGGTAGAAATATTTTTTTTATTACTTTTTTAGAGTTTAAACAGGTATTTTTTTATTATCAATTGTATAGACAGTTTTCAATTATTAACAGTTAAATCAGTTTAAAATTATAWTCTCCACTTGATGACTATCGTAATATTATATTTACACATTTATGTGTAGATTAATTAAAATATACGGTACTTGTTCAATATGCTATCTACCGTAAATATTTTATCTACTGTAATTTTACTATAGTTTAATATGATATCTAYCGTATGCCCATATGCTGTATATTAATATATTATACATACTTTATCATTTTGCAATTACGATTTAAGATTAATCTTTAATTAAAACCCAAAATCATATTATATTTATATTTTATACCTTAGTAAGTTAGGTAGGTTAGTAGGTAATAAGTATACCTTTATATTA